GTTACCTGTTCTTTAACGGCGTCATTAATGGCTGAAGTAATATCAGATAAAATAGATACATTTATTAATCAACAGTGGGAGCCATACATGAGATAAATGTAGTCCCGTGTGGATAAACTGCTGCCGTTTTTTGGCTTCTGGAGTTGACAGAGTCGACTCAGATGGATGCCGGTGCTGGGCCGAGCTTCTCCGCGAACCCCTGCCGGTCTTTGCGTCTCTGTTTTTAAGTTTGCCCATGAGTTGAAGCATTGCAGCTGGAGGTTACCGCTGCCCCTTGAAGTGGGAGGAAGATGATTAGGAAATCAAATACACAAGTTAAAGAACTGCCTGTCCATCAGAGTGGTGGTACCTACAGGGGCGTGGTGGGAAGGATGTAGGTGACCTGGTCGAAATAAAAGGGACAGAGCTGCGGGATCGCTACTTCTGGGCAGGAGGACATCCTGGTGAATATCTGATCCACCCTGTGGTTTCTCCCAAAGCACTGTCGAGGGAAGAGTCTGTACCACAGGCCTGACACCAGAGCATCCATGCTGCTTTGAGCCGCTGAGGCGCTGACAGGAAGTAACCTGTAGTGAGGTGGCTGGCCTGTCATCTCGATAACTGTTATCTTCGCGGAAACACAGGTAAACAAAGGTGATTCAGTGCAGAGGCAGCCACAGCGATCATCCGTGTAAACACTTCTCTTCTGAAAGCATAAATGTTATCATCTCTTACCTTAAATGTGTTTGTAACCTGCTGCAGGCGGTGAGTGAGTTGTTTATCTTTAAATTCCAGATCATCACAGTTTTAAATGACGACTTTGGAATGAGTATACAGACTGTATATTAAAGATGGATGGGTCCTAGCTGACATTTTTTTGGGGGGGGCCTCAGTGTGCCCGTCTATAGATACACCCTTACTGAACCCAAAATATGATTATCATACAGAACAGCAGTTCAAACAACTGTTACCATCAGCTTAATAATCAGCGTGGAAACACAAAAGTATCCAAATACTGTCATACAAGAAGTTACTCCATCTTTGTAGTTTTTACTTAGCAAGAGTTAAGTTTCATCTGACTGCTACTTGGCAAGTAGCAGTCAGATGAAATATATTTGTCCTTGTTAAATCTCAGACCTGTAATGTGCATTTTGTGTAAAGCCCTTTGCAGCATTGCTTGGCGTCTCTGCTAACACCTCCTCTTATTTATGATGAACCTCAGCAGCAGTGGTGGCGTGACGATTACACACAAACGTCTGCAGCTTTCCAAATCTAAAAAAGTAAAAGTTCTGAGCAGAGCTTGGGAGTATTTGTCATCACTGAAATCGTTTCCAGCTTACAGGTGTGTCTACAGATGGACTTTGATCTTTAAAGCTTTTATGCTGCTGTTTGTTTTACTTAATATCAAAGTAGATGATTCTTTGTATGATCGTGTTTTACAAACAGACTCAAAGTGGCCTACTTATACACTCACCACTTTACTAGATTACATGAAGACCATGGCAGGAGCTCACTGCATCTAACTATGCAGACGTGGTCACGATGACCTGCTCAGGTTCAACATCAGATCGCTTTTCTTCTCCACTCTAAGCGACTTTGAAAGTGGGAATGTTGTTTGAGCTTCCAACCTGCTAACAGCTGACAGCAGCGCCTCCCAACGAAATGAATGTCAGCTTTGATTTCTGTGAACCAAATTCAGATTAAATGGAAATTACTGCCGTGAGCTTTCTCTACCTGCACACACCCTGCTATGCTTCTTGTGCCATTTACCCTTTAGCCACTCGCTTAGCAGGAAATTTATGCACCTCACGAAACTCATGGCCTTATTCTGGATTATGTAATTGCCAGGGACACCCTCAAAACCTAAAAGTATAAAATAAAGTTGAGCCCACCACTGATTGTATTGCAGGTAATATTTCAGGGTAAGATTTATAGATTTGTAATTCAGATGAAATGTCTTTACAAAGGTCAGGAAAACAACTAATCTCCTTTAGGAACCTGTAAAAATAATAAAGCCATAAACGGTGAACAGAGGCGCTGAGTTATTAAGAATATAACAGACTTGACTTCTAAAAACTGTCCTCAGGTTTGGCTATGGAGGAATAAAGCACATTTACACAAAGACAGCACTCAGGTACAACCCTGAGGTACTTGTACTGGAGTATTTCCACGTTATACTACTTTATGCTTTCACTCAGTCCAGAGAGAAATGTTTAGTCTCTACTCCACTGTACTTACTAAGCTTTACTTCATGCACGATGGCTAACATAGCAGGCTTAAAAACAACACACTGTTGAAGTGCACTCATTCTGCTCATTCTCAGCTCCACATTTTTAATGTTGGACTCTACTGGAGCAGCTTTGCATGAGTCACAGTTCAAAATAATGCTTATTTGTCTTACACTGGGCTTTTGTGCTTCCCCTTGGATTTTATTAAATGAACCCAACCCCCAGTCAACATACATATAATGTGCCACGTTTCCCAAAACTGAAGGTCTATGCTGACACTTCATTTTCTCTGTACCATTCATAATGTTAATTACCTATAACTGGGCTCAACCATCCAACGTGATGGACAGTGAAAAAGAGAGAGCGCATCCAGGGTGGAGGCGAGGGTCAGAGGTCATTTGTGACAGAAGGATAGCAGGAGAAGTGAAAGGGCAAACTTACAAGATGGTAGTGAGCCCTGCTGTGACGCATGATTTTGAGACAAAAATTTGTGACAAAAAGGTGGAAGGCTGAGCTGAAGATGTTAGGATTTCACTGGGAGAGACCGGGATGAACAGGATTATAAATGGACATGTCAGAGGGACAGCTCAGGTTGAGCAGTTTGGAGACAGAGTTTGTGGAGAGCCAAGACTGAGATGTTTGCACATGTGCAGAGGAGGGATGTAAATGAGGGGCAAAGAATGATGAAGAAGCTGCCACACAGGAGGAAAAAGGAAAAGCTCAGAGAAGATTCATGGATGTGATGAAGGAGGACATCCAGATGGTTAGTGTGACACAGGAGGGGTGCAGAGGATCCCCTGTGGTGACCCTTAAAAAAGGGCAGCAGATAGAAGTACAGGTTAAAGATTACAGCTGGAGAACGTAATTAAAAGAAACCACAGACAGCAGTGATAAAGAAACATGTAAAAAAATAACCAAGGATGATTTCCATATTCATTGCTAGTTTTTATGTCAAAGCCCAACAAAAAATAAAATAAAACAGTCTCCCGTGGGTCTTGGTGGGCTGTTTTTGGAGCTCCTGTGGTAAAGCAGCAGCAGCTGTGGCCGTGGCAGGTTGTCGGTGTTGCTGAGCTCTGAGCTGTGACCGCGGAGGGGAGGAGAAAAGTGCGGAGCTGCAGCGGCTCTGCTCATTCAGCCTCCGAGCCAGCAACCAAACAGCAGCTCCAACTTCAGCGCACATCGGAAATACTGAGCAGGAAACGGGCAGCTGGAGGGACACCGACCGCTAACTTTTGCTTCACCTGCAGGGGGATAAAAACACCTTCAGGTAAGACTGAAAAAAGACGTTTGTTTGTTTTATGATGGAGCCAAAACAGCTCCGTGTGGGGATGCTAGCCCGTTAGCTAGCCAGCTAAGTAACAAACTAACAACGTCCCCTCCGCGGTTAGCGCGGCTCGGCTCGGCGTTCACAGCTGGCGAGGATCGGCTTAGAGTTGGGGTGGGAGTCCTTTTCTCGAGTGTTTTTACATGATTAAAAACCAGGAAAAAGTGAGCCCAGTTTAAAGGCAGTCGGGACTGTTGTTAGCTCCACTTAAAAGTAATCAGACCCCTTCTGGAAAACTGTCGATGCGAGCCCGAGTGTTACCAAGAATAGGGGCAAACACGGGGTTTAAATCAGTATATTAGCTCTTAGCAGCATTGCGTAAGCTAATGCTGATTAATACCAGCTCTAACTAACTTTGTCTGCTATAAAGCCCCCCGAAGTCTGTTTTTATCTTCCGTTTTAGCTGATGTGTTGATCCTAAAAGCAAAAGCCGACCCCGATAAAAGTTTAACGATGGCAGCTGCATTTACCAGGAAACTGGGTTCATTATTAGCTAACTACTCACTGAGCACTTTAACGTGCGGACAGAACTCGTTAATTTCGACATTTCCCGCTACCTCCCTGCTATTAGGCAGGTTTCTCAGCCTGTCTTCCTGCCCATATGTCCTCGTATGTGTGCTCTCCACAGCGGGACAAAAGGCCCAGCATGGCGGCCCCCTTCCCCCTCTGAACTCAGCCCACACTGGAGGTGAGAGAGCAGCAGAGGGGCTGCTCTTCTTTGTCCTACCGGGGAGAGGACCAGAGCTTCAGTCTGCCTCTGAAGTCGTCCTGCTCTTATCAGTCAGAGTAAACATGCTGTCACAGGTATTAAAGAGCTCAAAGTCCAGATTTATATCTTTAGAAACTGAACTGAAGTGTGAGGTAAGCAGAATAAACAGTGATACAGATCATGAGGGCAGGTATTTTAAAAAGGTTTTCATGAAGATATAAT